GCCCAGAAGAGGTGGTGGGAAGTTAGGGTGTGTCTGGGCTCAGTGCGTGGCCCCGTGACGGGAAAAACCCACGTGCAAGGAGGAAAGGAGCCCGGTGCTGGGGCTGAGTCTTGGTGCCTGGGCCGTGCCATGCCAACTGGGCTCTCCTGGCGTCTTGCAGTGGCTGCGTACGAGCGCACGCTGTCCGTGGATGGCGAGGAGACCACGCTGCTGGTGATGGACACCTGGGAGCCGGAGCAGCGGGCGGGGCTGGGCGCTGTGGGGAGCCTGTGCTGCCAGCGGGGCCAGGTCTGCTGGGATGTGCCCAGGGGACATTGTACGGGCACAGCCGCTGCTTCGGGACCTCTGAGCTCCCTGAAGCTCCCTAGAGCTTTCCCAGCCATGTCCAGGGCTCACGGTTGCTCTCAACAGAGAGCAGGACACACACGGTAGGCAAGACGGGGACTGGGGTCACATCTCTGACCGGCTCTTTTCCCACCTTCCCCTGGCGTGGGAGGCTGCCCACCATGTTCTTGGCAGTGGGGGCTCTCGTGGCGAGGCACCGTGAGCACAGTGTCCCTCGCATGAGGTGGGGGGGGAAGAAGGGGCTGAGGGGAAGGACTGTGGTGCCAGCCCACTTTGAAATGCATAGAAATAGTTTGGGAACAGGGCTGAAGGAACCAACTGGGCAAATCCACATGACGTGGTGCTGCCAGCCAGGACACGTGCTTTAACAGACACAGCGGTGTTCCTGAGAGCCTGGCATGGGACATTCCTTCTGCCCAGCACATGGAGGCATCTCCTGGGCAGAAGTGCCAGCTTTGCTGTTACTGCCTCCATCAAAACACCCCTTTGCCTCCCTCCGCACCGGGGCCTTGTGTTCCTGCGGGTGCCACCAGGCAACGACCAGTCCCCGGGAGTGCGGATGGAGCAAATGCCCAGGCTGTGCATGTGGGCACAGCACTCGCGTGGGCTGTGGCTGCATTTTGCACGTGTGGCTGCACTGTCCAGAGATGACCCAGCACCATAAGGCCCCAACAACGGTCCTTTATTTCCACTATTGCTTAATCCCACCCTGCCCAGCAGGGACCAGTGCTTGGTTCACACAGGGCGCTGCGCCCACGATGCCGTGGGCAGCTCTGGGACGTGCAGCCTCAGCCCCCGGGGTCAAGCTGAGCCCACAGCCCCAGTTTGTTGCTGACAGCGGAGGAAACTTTCAAGGCCCCCCCCCAAATCAGGAGCTTTTAATCTGCATTTTATTAATGGGGCCACGTGTCTGTTCCCCATGATGTGGGGGCTGGTGGGGTGTGCTGGCAGGTCCCATCAGTGCCGAGCTGCTCTGCTGTCCCCCAGCAGTAGTCAGGGCTGCCAGCAGCCCCTGCACAGCAGTGACATCTCGTTCCTCATGCGGTGGCAGGGCGAGGAGAGCTGGCACCGCAGCCAGTGCCTGCAGGTGGGAAACGCCTATGTCATCGTCTACTCCATCACTGACCGCGGCAGCTTTGAGAGCGCCTCGGAGCTGCGCATCCAGCTGCGCCGCGCACGGCAGGCTGAGGACATCCCCATCATCCTGGTGGGAAACAAAACCGACCTGGTGCGGTGCCGTGAGGTCTCTGTCGAAGGTGAGTGGTGGTGGGGTCCTGCCCCTGGGCTCCCTGCCCAGCTGCTTCCCCGTCTGTCCCCTTGTCCCTGGACGTGTATCTGCTGCCCCACATGTGGTAGTGCCTGTCCCCCAGTGTCCAGGGTGCCAGCGGGGCTGTGCCCCCTCCCTGCCCTTCCCTTGCAGAGGGCCGTGCCTGCGCCGTGGTGTTCGACTGCAAGTTCATCGAGACGTCAGCAGCTCTGCAGCATAACGTGGCTGAGCTCTTCGAGGGGGTGGTGCGGCAGATCCGCCTGCGCCGTGGGGGCAAGGAGGCTCGTGCGCACCCCGCACCCAGCCAGAAGCGCAAGGAGAGCCTCACCAAGAGAGCCCGGCGCTTCCTCGACAGGCTGGTGGCCAGGAACAGCAGCAAAGTTGCCCTCAAGGTCCGCTCCAAGTCCTGCCACGACCTGTCTGTGCTCTGAGATCCACCACCTTCCCGTCCCTCTGCACACGCGGGCTGGGACTCTCCTCTCTGCCAGCAGCATGGCCGGCAGCAATGCGGAGAGCCCAGACAAGGCTGGAGCGCTGCTAAGGATGTGGAGCTGTTTTAACCAGTGATGAAGGATGCCCAGAGTGCTCTGGATCCGGACGCTTCCCCTCCAAGAGGGGGGACAAGTGGGGCTGGGTCCCCTGGGCTGCACCCCTCGCCCAGCGGGCGG